TGAAATACACAGTACATGGTCCCCACCTGGAAACTGGCGAATGCAGATGCTGAAATATCTGAAATATGTTGTGTAGCATGCGGAGGCTCGACTCTCCTCAAGCTACAAAACTATGAGCGAAATATTCTAAGTACTGGGCTTAGAATAAAACTCAAATCTTAAATATCAAATTGTCTAGGTTCGCTCACTCTGCTTTAAAAATCATTTTAGGGATTTACGAGCTGCTTTTGAAAATATTATCATCGTTGAGGCATTCTAGAGTTCTCTGAAATATTTCTAAGTCTGGGACTAGAATCTGACTTAATCTAATCTGACTGAAATCTAAACTATATATGAATCTTAATTCTATCTGAAATTCTTGACTTTATCTGAAATCTTAATCTGACATTCTATCTGAAATATATTTCGACCAGTCCGGGCTGACCGGACTGGTTCGACTGAACTGGACCGACGACTCACTCGGAGTCGGTCGGTCATTCGCTTGACTATGTGCAGCTCGGTTTGACCGTGGTCTGAGTTCGGCGTGGCGACTCGGGCCAGCACGAACTCGACTGACACGGCTTAGCCGATGCACGAGTTTGAACGGTGCCACGGTCACTGACGCAGCGGCGTGCTTGGACCACGACTAACAGAACGACGCGTAGACGGCAAGTCGGATGGACTCGGTGCACGGGCACGCACTCGGGGGTTTGACTCAGACTCGGTGCACGAGCACGCACTCGGCGGCTCAGCTCCAATGGTCGGACGAGAGGCGATCACGGGCACGAGACGACGATACGCATTACGAATTACGATACGACGGTTAAAGATTATCTAGACGGTACTAGGGTTCAGACAATTATAATCGGATCCGGAGAAATACTCGGTTATCGGAACTGGATAAAACTAGGATTCGATTCTCGAAGAATTTTAACTCATTTAAGGCCGATGATTAATATACACATTCTCTGTGATTTTATAAATGTGTAATCCACAACTGCAGCTAAAGTCTCAATTAAACTATTATTTTATTTTTACGGCATTAATATCTAAAGTCTCATTTTTATAACTAAGTCAAACAACATCCAAAATTTACGAAAATTGAAACATAACATCCTCAATATATATATAGTCTATGGTCAACATCTCAAGTCAAAAGTCAACTCATAACTCAGTCAACTAAAGATCGCTACGACCGGTCAACGCATTTGACCGACTCGTCTACCTATCAAACAACGTCCGAAAAATCTCAAATTTCAACCTAAGCCTCAAAATGACGTAACGAATTTTATAGTATTTATTCCAACATTTTATCACATTTATTTAAAAAGTCGAACATATTCACTTTAAGCCCGAAAATCCGATTTATTCAAAATCGCTCAAATCACCCAATTCATTAATTTTATATCATCTCAAATATTTTATCTAAGCCATTAAAATCGAGTTCTAGTTATTATACCTTAAATCTAGCGAAAACGGCGGGTCGAAAGATAGATCGGCTAAGAAATGAAGAGAAAGAGCCAAATGGGTTCGGATTTTGAGCTACTAGGTTCGGACCTTGGACTGTGGGCTGCAGTCTGGGTCAGCTGGAGCTACTCGGGTCGGGTTTACTGCTGGTTGGGTCAGACTCGAGGGTTGTGGTTGCAAGGGTCGCGGGTCCAAGCTCGGAGGTGCACGTTGGAGGCGCTGTGGAGGAGCTGGTCACGGTTTGCAGGTGTGGAGCTCGATTTATGAGGTGCTGGCCGTGGATCTAGCTATTTTCGGCACGATGAGAAGCTGACGGAGGTCGCTGGTCGGAGCTGGTGGTTTTGCCGGCGTGTACTCGTCGGAAAAAGAAGCT